CCCCAACAAGTTTTGAGCTAGGAAGCTTGGGGTGGCTTGCTCAGCAGCAGGGGCTTTTTTCCGCCCAGCTGCATCCAGTAGCAGCAGTGCAAGTCCCTGAGCCACTTTTTGACACTCTGGGAACTCTGGTAGGGGATGCAGGGGCAGAAAAGGAGCCTGTCTGCTGGGCAGTCCCTCCCCCCACACCATCTTCCTGGCTCAGGTCTTGCTGGGGGCCAGGCTGGGTTCCACTGTGGCAAGGCAGGCTCCTTTTCCACCCCATAAGCGATGCAGAAACTTGTGCTGCCACTGTTGGCTGGAGCTGGGAAAAGGAGTCCCCTTGTCAGGTAGGCCTCCCTGACGTCCCAGCTCGGGTCTTGCTGGGGGTCAGGCTGGGCCCCCACATGGCAGGGGGTTCCTTTCCCTCAGCTGCAGCTCCATGGCAGTGCAAGTTCCCAGAACCGCTTTTCGCTGTGCTGGGAATTCTGGTACGGGGGTGCAAAAGGAGTGCCCCCTGTGGTGTAGGCACCTCCAGCTTGGTGGCTTAGATCATGTGGGGCTGGGATTGGTTCCTAATGCGGTGAAAAGTAGCACAGGAAACTCATGCTGTCACTGCTGACTGCAGCTAGGGGAAAGCCCCCTGCCCCCCAAAGGCCAGGCTGCAGTGGGGCCAGGGCAGCTGTGAGGACAGGAAACCCCGTTCACACCCAAAGGCCAGGCTGTGGCTCACAGCTGGCTGGGATCAGAGGCTATCACTGGCTCAGGTTAGTGACAGCTGAGAGGGCGAGGCTGGACTGGCACAAGCAGACCAAACAAGCTCTGCCTGAGGCAAGCCTGCTGCCCTGTGAGGGGCCCCTGGGATACCAGTGAATGTGACCTAGCCTAACATGTAATAGATGTGGCACAGACATTCAAAAAAGTGCTTTAATCTAAAGCACTTTAGTCTGATAGCACATCCATTGAGGGTTAACTTAAGAGTGTTATCTGACATTTTTAAAGTGCTTTAAGTGCCATGAATGTCTGTTTTGTTATGGGTTTACAGCACTTTCTGTGTGCTTAACACAAGTTAAGTATAAAGTCTGTACCTAGCCTAAATACCTAATTTTCCACACACCCCATTCCAGTATCTGAATAGGTACAGTTACCGCTGACTTTAGCTGGAATTGTGGGTATTGGGCACCCACAAAAACTGGTTCCAGTGCACCTGGGGAAGGTTGGTAGATGAATGATAAATATATCCATAATTGTGTAGTTCACTGGCACCCATTTCTCCCACCAACGTAGATGGGTAGTGGAGAAGATGCAGAGGAGATTGTAGCACTGAGGCTTCAGAATCAGCCAAACTATGTCTGTGTTCAAGAACTGGGCACAGATATGAGGTTATGAATATTATGATATACAGGTACTTTTTAAAAAAAAGAAAATCTTTCAATAACTTTAGCTCATTATAGCATAATAATCAATCATTTCATAATTAACAAGTCAGATTCCAGTGTAGCTTGCGAAATTATTTTACCCTTTTATAGGAGGTGCAGCATGGAATTATTTGTTCAAGTTTCTACTTCTCTCACTTGACAAGAGTTT